CTTTCCCTTTTTGCTCTTTTTCATTGTTATATTGATTTGTTGCTATTGTTCATTGCCATATATAATTTGAAAAATCTTGCACATTTCTGCTGGGAAACAATGACTGAAGGTTCAAGTGAGGTCTCATCCTGTGTTTTTGCTCTTTACATTCCATTCTGTTGTTTCAGGTTGCTTTGATGGCAAGATGGGACAGAAAAAAGTGAGTTTTCTGCTACAAGCCAATCAGATATTTTTAAAGTAACCCCAAGCTAGTTAATTTATTGATGAATAGAAAAGTAAAGAGGAACTCCTATAAAATTGTACTTAAAATAACAAAAAAAAAATACTTGGGGGGGCATGGAACTATAAGTGTAACAAATAACTGTTAAAAGTAGCATCCTAAATTTGATTTTGGATTAGTTTTTTTAATGAGATTTTAAAAATAAGATATGAGGATAAGTGGGAGGAAATAAAATGAAATAAATATACAATGAAAACATAGAATGTCTGAAGGCTTAAGCAAGAAATGGTCTTAGCTTTCCTGTAGATGAGAACAAGTCCCTGGCAGATTTTAGTTGGTCAGCAAATATCCAATGCAATTTTAGAGTTAGCAGTTCCAAAATCGACCACAAAAATTGCGGTTTGAAATTGAGCCATATTATATAAGTGAATGGATGCCTGCAGTCTTGGCCTAGACTTCACTATTGACATTTGCTATTTTCATTATGGAGGCCTGGGTGAGAAAAATCATCACACCAGTGTTCCTTTCATTCATGAAGATTTTGGGGGATTCCTCACATCCTGCAAGTATTACAGAAAGTCACCACAAGGGACAAGAAATATCACTAGAAATAAATATCATCCTCTATCCTGTGTCTACATGGAATGCATTTCACTCACATGGCAATGTGTTCCACAGGGCATTCTATTCCACAAGATTACCAGATGTCTACTTGAGAATGTATTCTACAAAGTTTCCAGAAAATCTCTTCTCGTTCTTCAAGGAAGGAGGAGGAATCTCAGGGCAAGAGCATTGCCTTGAAATTATTAGAGTGGCGCTTTGTGCACAGGCAGATTCTCCCACAGAAGCTGTTGGACATTTTTGTCCAATACAGAGAGTCTGTATTCAGTTCAAGGTTGTGGACACAGACTTATGCATGTGGCACCATTGTGGATGTAGACTGTGCATTTGATTCCTCATTTGGTGTCTTGGCTCAGTTGCTCAACATTATCCTTTAGCACAGGGATAGCCAACCTTTCCCCTTTAAGGGCCGAGGGACTTCAGCTCCAGGAGCTATTGGCCAACATGGGACTATTGTCCAACATGGCTGAGGCTTCTGGGAGCTGAAGTCCCTTGGCCCTTAAAGGGGAAAGGTTGCCTACCCCTGCTTTAGCATAAGGCTGTCATAGTGCAATAAATGTGTAGCTCCACAAATCAAGATTTATGCTATGTAACTCTAGTGTATGATCTCAGACTTGTTGTTTGGACACTTGAATAGCATACTAAGCTGTGCTTGATGCTGAATTGTCATGCTTAATGGCACAATCAGGGGGTGCTCCTTATTAGGTACCATCCTATGGTACATCACAAAAGCTCTTTCCTAGATTTTGGGTTGTGACCTTGAAATCTCAGGGTCTGGGATAGTTCTGACCTACCAACTCTAACAAAGAGGTAGTCTGTATCCTGGCTTGAGTCTTCAAATCAAATCACATAAATAAAGACTTGTTTGGTCAGGGTTGGTGATAATATCAGGAATTTCTGAGTGCAATGTAATCATTAAAGTAACACAAATCAAGAAATGGGCAATTGGGAATCTTTGTTGCAAAAACAGTCAGTTCAGACCTCTGGCAAAAATTATCTGCTCATGAGCACATGCAACTGCCCACAGTACAAGGAGCATATGGGGAAAGAGAAAAAGAAGTCATGAAAGAGAGATTTTCAGAAAGAGGCCAAGAATGAGAGAGGGTTTTTTTGGTGGGGGATTGGGGGGGGGGAACACTGTTCAAGCACTTCCACTGAATCAAATGATAGATGGGAGGCACTGAGAAATAATTATGTACCTTCCAAGAATTTGCAGCTACATGGTTGGAATGGCTAGTCCTAACTAGAGTTAACCCATTGAATCAATTACTGAATCACCATTCATAGAGTCATAAATGTTGGAAGGGGCCACAAAGACCATTTAGTTCAGCTCCCTGCTATGAAGCAGTAGAGCACTCTTGATATATGCCCATTCATATGGATAAATCAACTCATGAATATATAGATAAATCAACTAACAATAGTATTTTGATCCCCATGAAAAACTCCACTTAGGCAACCATTAACCATATATGTCCATTGTCCAAGAGTCACAAAAAGTTCAACCACATGTGTAAACATACTTATACATCAGTATGACACTATCAAGATTCTGGTCAATGTGTTTCTGAGCCTCCTTCAGATGATTACTATCTAGAGATATAAACCTTGGCTTATTTCATGTTTGCATGAAAAAAACATATGACAGATGCATGCAAAGTTGAGGGTCAAAAAAAACTTTTTAAAAAGGTTTGTTGGTTTTATAGGGATTTGGAGTTCTAAATACAAAAATGATCTCAGATTTGCACCATTGCATATAGTTTTGTCACAACTTGCCCTGACGTTTCTGTGTTGTAATATCTGACTGAATGAAATGATTTTGCAAAGAATTATTCTGCAAAGAGTAAGGTTGAGTCCACACTGGAGAAAAAATCCTGGATGGCACCACTTTAACTGCCATGGCTCAATGCTATGGCGTCTTGGGATTTGTAGTTTGTTGTGGCATCAGAGCTCTCTGACAGAGAAGGCTAAATATCTCACAAAATTACAAATTCCAGAAGTGAGCCATGGCAGTTGCAAAGGTCTCAAACTGCATTATTTTAGAGTGCTGAAACAGCCTAAGAAAGGGGTCAAAGGGCCTCTACAGATGGCCTTTGGCACCGTCTTGGAGGCAGGGAAGGGGAGGGGCAGCAACACGGTGGGTGCCCCAACCCCACACCGAAGACATCATCATGGCACAACATCTTAACACACTGTGCCGGAAGAGGCGCAGAAGGGCCATGCGCCGGCTCTTCAGGCACCCCTTTTTCATTTTGGTGCTCCTTTCAGGGCCGGCAAAAGGGTGGATTGGGGCTGAGGCATGGGGTAGTCTCAGCCCCAATCCTCCACTTCCCAGGGCAGCCCAGGGCCACCCGTCTGCATAACCCCAAAGTCTTCTAATAGACTTTCATTGATACGAAACACAAAAATTTGTTCAAAAGCACAAAAAGAAATCACAGTGGAATATCAGTTCAGTGTCCACACTTAAAGGTGAGTAATAAATGAACTGATTATAAAATGTTGAATTTGTGAAAGAACATGTATGGTTCAACATTTCTATTGGTTTTTCAAATCCAACACCCCAAAATACACTAGAAACAGCTTAGAAAAGATTTTGTCATCTCAGACCTGTATGATTTTTTTAAAAAAGTTTCTCCAGTGAGCAAGACCTTGAGAGTTTTTTGCATAATTTTTCTATTTTTCGATAAAACTATTTCTTTATTTTGTATTTTTGGACTGTTAATGGGGAAAAAAACATTTATGCAAAAACAAAAATGTTTTATTTAAATGAAACAAACTGGGGGTCAATGCAAGGCAGTGAAATAGTGTTCTCTGTGCTGGCATCCATTCTTTGAAATGCATTTCCATCAGAACAATGTCTCTGTATTTCCAGCTTTGTGTTTTATCAGTTGGTAAGAAAATCTGGCTCTTGTCGGGAAGCTTTTCCTGTTGATTGAAGGTTTCTTGATTTATTATTCACATTGGTGTTTGGAAAGATTTTGTAGAAGTTTTAATTTTTAAAGTGCATCTCTGAGTTTTGCTGACATTTAGAGATTATTTTCAATTTTGTTAGGATTTTATGCTGGCATTCTTAAAGGAATTTCCAAAGGCCTGAATTTAAGTGAATTTGTAAGGCTTATTGATTTTATAACGGAAATGATTTTCAATTTTGTTTTAATTTTATACGAGTATTTTAAGGATGCTTTTAAGGGCAGATTTAAGTATATTTGTGAGTTTTATTGATTTTTTTTCAAGAAATGATTTTCAATTTTATTGTTGTGACTTTTATTGTTCTGCCCTGCACTGATGGTTGGTTTAACAGCACTGAAATGGCATGAAAATGATAAAGAAACAGCAGACCCTGAAAATACATCCTAATGGTTAATTGAGTGCTATGATCATAGTACTTTGCTTCCATTTGCCCTTCTGTTTCTCCCCCTCTTTTTTTCAGGGATGTGCAGGTGTATGTGGGTTATGGAATCAGCCAAAGCAGATATCCAAATGTCTACAGAGTTGTTGAAAGTTCTATACCTTCATAGTTGGATTATGTGCCCATTCTTTGTACAGAGATACAGGGCAACAGCTCAGGAATTATTTGAAGTTTCACAGTGCTTTGGTGTAGTGTTACCAAGTTTTCAAAATGGCACATTTTCAAATTAACGATGGGCAGGATTCACCATCAGGAAGTAGCTATTAACAAGTGTTTGTTCTACCTAAATACAAAATGAATGTTTTGATTTCAGTTAACCTACCCATGTATAACATTCACCTCCACATCCATACATTCCATGTTGCTCACATTTCTGTCTTTATGAAGGGGTCACAAAACATGGGATTTGTGGACATCTTGTTCAATCTATATAAAAGGAACAGTTTTCCAGTTCTCCAGTAGGGAACATCTCTTAAAATAAGGTACCTTATTTAAAATAAGGTATTAAAATAAGGTATCTTAAAATAAGGTACAAAAAGGGACAAGATCTGTTCTTAAATAAGAACATCATTTAGAATAAGGGAGACTAGGGGAAATGAATAGCAATAGCAATAGCAGCTTCATTTATATACTGCTTCATACCACACTATGCAGTCTCTAATCAGTTTACAATGTGTAAGCTAATTGCCCCCAATAAACTGGGTACTCATTTTAGCAACCTCAGAAGGATGCAAGCCTGAATAGAGCCTGAGCCCTGGCTGGTATTGAACTCACGACCTTGTGATTTGTGAGTGAGTGGCTTCAGTACAGGCATTTAACCACTGTGCCACCAGGGCAGATGATGCCATAGGGGAAATGCAACATAGAATAGGTAAAGAGGTAGTACATGAATATCTGGCTAATCTAAACAAATTCAGGTCTCCAGGGCCAGAAGAACTACATCCAAGGGTCTTCAAAGAACTGGAAGAAATAATCTCAGAACCAGTGGCAATAATCTTTGAGAATTCCTGGCAAACAGGAGACAGCACACTCCCAGCTAACTGGGAGAGGGCAAATGTTGTTCCTTTCTTCAAAAAGAGGAAAAAGAGGACCCAAATAGTTACCACCCAGTCAGCTTGACATTAATACCAGGATAGATTCTAGAGCAAGTAATTAAACAGACAGTTGGTAATCACTTGGAAAGGCATGGCATGATCACTAAAAGTCAACATGGGCTTGTCAAAAGCAAGTCATGCCAGACTAATCTTACCTTTTTTTTTTTTTTTTTTTTTTTTTTGGTAGAGTCATAAGTTTGGTAGATGTAGGGAATGCTATGAATGTAGCATATCTTGATTTCATTAAGGCCTTTGATAAGATTCCCCCATAATATCCTTTCAAAAAAGCTGAACCTGAAGGGTATTTAGAAATGATAAGGCTTCCTCCTTAACCTGGAGAGAAATGACTTGATGCATGCCACAGAGCCAAGTGCTGTCCAACATCTTTATAAATAACTTGGATGATGGAACAGAGCGTATGTTCATCAAATTTTCAGATAACACCAAATTTGGAGGAGTAGCTAATAACCCAGAAGACAAGATCAGAATTCAAAATGATCTTAACAGATTAGAAAGCTGGGCCAAAACTAACAAAATGATTTTCAACAGGGAGAAATGTAAAATACAACATAGTTTTTTTGGGGGGTGGGGGGGTTATGTGGCCATGTTCTGGAAGAATTTATTCCTGACATTTCACCTGGATCTGTGGCTGGCATCTTCAGAGGCTGGTGGTATGGAAGTATATATACTGTGTGAATCTTGGGTGGGAGGATACGGCACTTAGGCGGTAAAAATGAAATGCATAGATATAGGATGGGTGACACCTGGCTTGACAGTAATATGTACAAAACTGATCTAGACGTCTTAGTGGATCATAGGATAAACATGAGTCAAGAATGTGATATGGTAGCCAAGAAAGCCAATGCAATTCTAGGCTGCATCAGTAGAGGTGTAGTGTCTAGATAAGTGATACCCAAACTTTGGTCCTCTGTGTGTTTTGGACTTTAACTCACAGAATCCCAGACAGTTTGATCAACAGTCAGAAATGCTGGGAACTGAAGGCCAAAACATCTGGAGAATCACTGGTCTAGACTGAGGGAAGTAATAGTCCCACACTATTCTACTTTGGGCCTTGGCAGACGACTAATAGAGTCATTTCTGAGGCAAGGAAGAGGAGGGGCAGCCGCACGATCGGTGCCCCTTCCTCCTCCCGAGGTAGCCCTTGGAGCTGCCAGCCCTCCGCACGGCCGGTGCTCCGAGGGCAACCTCCCACCGCAGCATCCGCACACGCTGTGGCGGAAAAGTCAGGGAAAGTGCGCCCTACGCTTTTAGGGTGCACTTTCACTGACTTGTGAAAGGAGCGCTGATTTAGCGCTCCTTTCAGAGGTGCCGACAGTGCGCCTCAGTGGAGATGCCACGGTCCCGCGGCGCTCCATCCCAGGGCATCCCGGACGCCCTCATCTGCTTCCCCCGATTACCCCTCACCTGGAATACTGTGTCCAGTTCTGGGGACCACAAGTCAAGAAGGATGTGGACAAGCTGGAGTGTGTTTAGAGGCGGGTGACTAAAATGGTAAAATATCTGAAAACCATTCCCTATGAGGAGTGGCTTAGGGAGCTGGGTATGTCTACTCTGGAGAAGAGAAGATTAAAGTGTGACATGATAGCCATGTTTAAATATTTGAAAGGATGTCATATGGTAAAAGAAGCAAGCTTGTTTTCTACTGCTCTAGAGATTAGGGCATGGAGCAATGGATTCAAGCTACAAGAAAATAAATTCTGTCTAACATTAGGAAGAACTTTGTGATGGTAAGAGCTGTTTGAGAGTGGAACATGCTACCTCAGACTGCCAGAAATAGTGCAAATTGAGTCCACTTTAACTGCCCTGACTCAGTGCTAGGGAATCATGGGAACTGTAGTTTATTGTGGCACCAGAGCTCTCTGACAGAGATAGCTCAATGTCCCAGAAAAAAATACAATTCCCATGATTCCCTAGCAGTGAGCCAGGGCAGTTAAAGTGGACTCAGTTTGCACTATTTCTGGCAGTCTGCAAAGGCCCAAAATCTCCTTCCTTGGAGGTTTTTAAGCAGAGGCTGGATAACCATCTGTTGGGAGTGGTTTGAGTGTGTATTCCTGTATGGCAAGGGGTTGGACTTGATGGCCCTTGGGGTCTCTTCCAATTCTATGATTCTATGGTGCATCTGCACTGTAGAAATAATGCAGTTTGTAACAACTTTCCATATTGCTTTGGAATCCTGAGATTTGTAATTTTACAAGATCTTTAGCTCTGCCAATTAGTGTGGTGCTTCAAAAAAACTACTAATCCCACAATGGAGCAAAGACTTTTCACCAGAATTCTTCAAGAGAAATTTTCACCATATTCCTTCAGCAGTTTCTGTGGAGATGGATTTACCATGAGCAGTGGCAATAGCACAGATTCTTTCTCCTCTGTTCCCATACTACCTTTTTCTATGTTGCCCACCATTCTGCATTCTCCACAGTGCCCCTGAACTACTCTCCTTTTGAGACATTGTTCCACAGCTTGAAACAAAAATCCAAGGCACTGAAGCCAGATAAAAGGAGGCCATGACTTCATTTAAAAATGTAAATCAACTCTATGAGTCACTGTGCTCACAGAATAAGGAACTTTGGGCATAAACAGAGGGCATGTCTACATTGGCTGCTTAATTCAGGTCCAGTCTGAAGCATTATGCCCCAGACTGGCCCCAAATTGACTACAATGATGACCACACACACTGGGCCAAATGTGGCGGGTCAGTTGGGCCAATACTACATCGGCCTCACTGGTCCATCTCCCTTGGTGCCACCACTGCCACTGCAGCCTCACCAAGCAAGCAGCTCCTTGTGACAGCCTGGCCATTACTGTTACTTCTGCTGAGGTCGGAACAGGGTGTCTCACCATGTGATCAACAAAAAGGGGGACACACTACCACCTCCTCATTGATTGCACAGGTGCCCTGTTGTGACTTCAGTGAAAGAATTGATGTAACAGGCAGCTTTTACATAAAACTCCTGCCACTGAAGAAGTGACAGCTCTGAAAACAGGCTATCCACTTTCCTGTAGGAAAGCTCTTAGTGTGTGGACAACTGGATTGGACCAAAACAGACCCAATCCAGCTGTGTACATGGACAACAAACCCGAGATCACTCTGGGGGTTCTAGGTAACCCCAGAGTTTTCCCTGACTTTACTTATGGTAGGTCAGGTCAAAGTTGTGCTAAGTGGCAAAAACTGTAGTATCTTCATGTCATGAAGACTGTCGGCACTTGCTTCAGGGTGCTCATGAAATTTTTCATCAGTGTAGACACCAAGGACTGCTGAGAGAAGGTTTGGGCCCTAAATAAAAAAAAGAGGGACCCCAGGTAGGATTGCAGGGTTTTCCCCTCCAAACAGTAATACTGTGTTGGACTACGACTCTAGAGTCCAGGGTTTGATTCCCACCTCTGCCGTGAAACCCACTGGGTGACCTTGGATAAGTCACATGCTCTCAGACTCAGGGAAGGCAATGGCAAACCTCCTCTGAACAAATCTGACCAAGACAATGCCATGATAGGTTCACCTTAGGGTTGCCATAAGTCTGAGATCAATTGAAGACATGCAACAAATAATACAGGATAGTGCTCTCTGTTACCAGGATAGTGCTCTCTGTTATACATGAGGCAGGCCTATGTGAAATTCACCACAAATCCCATAATAATGAGGCTTCTTAGGAGAGTTCCAGGCTCCCAAAAGTTTAGCAATCCTGCAGAAACTTGGAGCTGTTGTGAAGGACCCTTTTCTTGTGAGTCTTTTTTTCTTTGCAATGTATCTATTAATGTTAACAAGAACAATCTAGTTTACAAACAGAATCAAAATAACATTGATTCAGAAAATCCATTCAAAAAATAAAAAAGAGAGAAGGGAGAAAAAGACATAACTAAAATACAACAGGGCTCTGACTGCCTCCCTCCCTCATCTTAACTGTAGTGAAAATAAAATTTAAAACATCAAAATATATTGTTCTACCATTACAGATCTAACTAAATAATCCTACTAGAATTACTAAAAACCATAACCACAGATTATTACATCATTCAATTTCTTATTGTTCAAAAAGTCCATAAACCATTTCCAGTTTTGCCATCTTCTCTTTTAAAACCCATGTTAATTTGGTAATCAAGGATAACTCAGCAACCTTAACAATCCATTGTTCAGTCATCAGTGCTTCAATCCATTGCCACATTTTGGCAAACAATAATCTTGCTGTGTTACCATATATCAAAGAAGTAATCCATATTTATTACCTTGCTCTTTATCCATAATGCCCAGCAGAAACATTTGTAGTAATATTACAAAATGTACCTATAAATGTGCCTTTTTAATTCATATATTATATTGTGCATCTTACAAGTCCACTACATATTACAAATGAAGTGGATTTCATCTGAGGTTTGTGGTAGTCTTTATATAGGCCTGCCTTGCATACTCCTCTCCTCAGTCTTCTGGGCATGGTAAGCTGAGAGCAGGAACAGGCAATATTAGATGTGCTCACAATAGACTTGTGCAGCATTGGTATGTGAATTTGAATCATTTTTCTGCATACAAAATGCTTAAAGGTCTTGTGACCATGACTGGCACTCACTCTTCCAACTTTCACTGGAGTTTAAAAAAAAAGTGGTTTGGAATTCACTATCACAGTCTACAATGCATAATGTTAAGTCTCTAGATAGCAGAGGTGCTACGGAAATGTGATAGTGAATCAAGAAGATACATAATGGGACCAAGCCACAAGTGTCCCCATGCA